ATCTATTTAAAATGGACGGATATATGTAAAATACTTCATACTAAGTATGTACAAATACTCTTTCATGTTTCTGTAAAATCTCAACGTCAATAATTGTTTGATAACAAAGTGTAAAGCTATAATAAAGTTACATACGATGTATTTTTATCGCACATGTTACAATTACATTGCTAATGATAAATTATGTGGACGGAATTATCATACTGTATATGATTGTTAAATACATGTTCAATGCATGGCAAAATTATATGGTATAACAAAATTTGAGTGTTATGCTCATGCTTGTGATTTTTACATTGGATCCACAATGGGTGTTTCTGTCTTTGTTCATCTATAAACTTATAACCAAGCTTAGCATGTTGTCTTACAGATATCTATCTTGTGGAGAATATCATAGCTGAAATAACAAGGGCTAATAAGGCAGTTGCAGGAAGTAATGATAAAGTAGAGGCTCCATTACAACCATCTTCAGCACAAGAACATTCTTCCCAGTAGACTCCGTTTTCATATACCCCCCAGTTACAAACGCCAGTGACTCCAGTGCTAGCCACAGACGAACATCGGCGTATCACCTGTCGCCATCGGCCATCCCCTTTAAACATTAATCTACATAATAAATTTTACAAAATTGTGTACATAAATACAGTTTCGATTAACGATTGCAGGAACATGAAATCGGCACTATTAACACGAAAAAATGTAGCGTTTTACAATAAGAAATTAGAGAAACAATGTAACTTACAGATGAAACCACGAGGACTCTGATGCGTTATTTTGACACAGAATGTGCCAGGCATCGCTGACTCGTCGCTGTTGCATTCTATAGCGATGTTTTTTTCCTTGTCGAATTTTCTGTAAGCTCCACACAAATCTTCACCCTTAGGATCCGTGTCACTGCTGCACTGATAACAGCGAATCCCCTGGGTATCTGAAACGTGTTTAAATCCAATTGAAAATTGAATAAAGCTGACATCGTTCTATAACCTTAAACTTACTTGATACAGGAATGTGTAATCAATGTATACACGTTCATGTTTCTATATGTTTGACTAAGTTTTCACTCACCCATGACTGTGAAGAAAAATAATACACATATAATCGCGAACATGTTAAACATCATTTTGTGAAATGTCGTTCAATTAAAACGGAGTGACCACTATCATGAGCTTGAACCACTATTGCACTATGCACGCAACGAAAACGAACGGCCCTAATTCATGGGCGTTGGTCCAATGTTGGGTCCTGGAAGTAACATTGGCGGGAGAAGACCGATTATTATTATTTTATTAACTAATATTTTATAAATTTTATAATCTTATAAGAAAAGTTT